CGTTAAAGTTAACGAACAAATTACCTTCTTCTTCTTCTTCTTCTTTTTTTTTTTTTTTTTTCTAAATTCTCAACTTTGCAGAGTTGAAAATGGGTTTCGATGCGTTCGATCCTGACAAGAAGGGAACAATCACCACCGACACAGTTGGCACCATTTTGAGCATGATGGGGATGAAAATTCCAACCGTGCAACTCAACTCGGTCATCGGTGAATACGATCCATTCGGTATGTACGCATAAAACAATCTTGTTTCTGTAACAATTTTACAGGAAAAAACGATCAACTTTCGACGATATTTCCTTTCATTTCGCCCCTCAGGATCCGGAGAAATGAATTTCGAAGAATTTTGTGGCTTAGCCTCCCGATTCATGGAAGAGGACACCGACACAGAGGCAATGCAGCAAGAATTGCGCGAGGCGTTCCGCCTGTACGACAAAGAGGGGAACGGTTACATCACCACCGATGTGTTTAGAGACATTCTTCACGAATTAGATGATGCGCTGTCCCCCGAGGAGTTGGACATGATCATCGATGAGGTGGACGCCGATGGTTCAGGCACCGTCGACTTTGAGGGTACGCGTGATTCTTTAAGATTTATGCAGACGAATGATGTGATCTGGCAGAAGGAGAAATGAGAGAAACTTGAGAATGGTGCGTTTTTATATTTTTTTTTAATCATCTCTACTATTAAGTGAACGACTACATATATATATATATATATTTGTATATGTTCGTTATATTAATGAAACTCACAGAGATGAGTTGATTCGAAGAAAGTGAAAATAAGAAAATGTCGAATCGTACAACGTTACAATTATTGCTACATCACATTATTCGTCTGGTAGATCAATCCATCATCAAGAGGGATCGTGTTATCTCGAAATTACGAATGTAATTTTCGAAGAATCAACCAAAGATCGTTTCACGATTTCAGAATTCATGGAGGTCATGACAGGCTAAATTATCACGTTGGCACGAGGCGGTCGTCCCTCGTGGTCGGTCGCCACGAGAGGCGCATATATAAATGCAAGATACCGTCTGCCTTTACTACACACGTGGAAAACGCGCGATTTATCGAGATAATGTTGGCAAAGTATGAAGTTAAAGGTTCGTAGGTGACGTTTCTTGGGATGGTGCGCTTTTATTAATGCAATCAGAGAAAATATTTATGCGCGGTCGATTTTTGGACTCACAATCGGCTGAAATGTATTTCTATCTATGTGCCGGAATTAAACGGGAGCCCCAAACATCCATCCTCAACGAGGAAGGCTTTCATGGTTCGTGTAGAAACAAGTTTGTATTAAACCGTAAATCGACCGTTTTTCCTTTTTTTTTTTTTTTTTTTTTTTTTTTTTTTTTCCTCATCGAACGAAACGATTCTCATTTTCGTGAAGAGGATCGTGATGCGAATCGTGAAGATGTGATTAAATTTCGTGAAAGATTGGAAACTTCATATTTTGTTCTTCTTTTGAAACGACCGTCTATCATAATGAACGTTATTATAACGATATTGAAAATTGTATAAGTTTAAATATAAAGTAACTTGAAAAAAAAAAAAATTATAAAAAGAATGAAAGTACAAAAAAATAGCAAATAGCAAATTCGTGTAATTTATTTTCCCTTCTTCATATTATATTCCCATGTTATTTCATTCATGACATGCAATGACGATTATCCAATTATTATTATTATTTTTTTTTACCAATAAAGAGAGAACGTAAAAAAAAAAAAAATTATCCTTCGATCATCCCTTTTAATTAAATCATCCGTTGCCACGAATATTACGAAAATTATACAAAATATGCAATATTTTATTTTGCAACGTCAAGTACAATTAAAATTATACACAAGATATCACTCGACCAGCTCGTGTAGTAACACGTGCGTCCTCGAGAGTCTATAGCAAATATAACTTCGAGATTTCGTTCGTAGTGGCTCGTGTAATGATTGTTCACGGATCAAAGAATTTTCACCAAGGAGTTAACACAATAAGAAAGATAGGAGACGAGCAAAATGCCAGGAATCGATACCATTTGATATCCCCTAAATATCTTAGCCTTATGGCCTAGGTATTATGTACTTATAATTAGCCATCTAAAAATACGATAGATATGTTTATTACGTCGAATTGTCTCGGAAGATCGCACGATATCCGGCCACGAGCCAATTTCGTCTATTGTAGAGCCATATTGATCGTGAATCGCCACTATGACGGAAATTCCCTGAAGTATTCTTGCGAAACGAAGTTTTTGCACAATATCAAGTATTCTCCACTTGTTGGGATGAATTATTCGTTAAATCGTGGATGGATAAATTATCGTTAGACGAACTTATATTTGAAACATAGTAACAAAGGAATGGAAATTATCCAGTTTTATACACTCGCTCGATAATATCGTAATGAGTAATTTAATTTTGGAATATTTTCTACACGTATTATTCCTGTATATACATTTTTATTATCGTTAAACGTACGTACATATTCACAGTCCAGTTATTACGTTATATACACGTTCGAAATATGCGATGTAATTTTTTTTTTCTTATTGACTTGCAAATGATTGAATGATTATATGCTGCATAGAATTAAAGTAAATAAAATTCGATAATGAAGAGCGATAATTCGGTAATCAGTGCTTTTTAATTATATATAGAAGAAGGTTTTCTTTGAAATTTATTCAATTTTATTAGAATTTTTATAATCACTGTTGTTAATAATCCTTCGTTACGAAATTGACGTAATGAATAATTATAAATATTCTTAGTAGTAAAATGTGATGAAAAAAAATCTAGTCGAGTATAATACTTATTATTGATACATACATTCTGGGAACAATGAAAAAATCCATTTCGAATCTTTGCATACTTGAAATGTTTCAATTGGGAAAATTAAAAAAAATTACTCGCACAGATATCGTGCTAAGTATCCTTCCGTTCGCAATAATGTCAGGTATGCATCAGTATCGGTATAACAATGAAAAATTGGAGTACGTTGCCTCGAATTTTGCACAATTGAAATCCCTGTTTCGCGGAAACTGAGAGTGGGGAGTGTCCTCGATGAATTTGAAAACCACTAGAGTTCCTACGTAGATATTACCCGGTCAATCACGTGCCAGATCATCCTAATGTCCACATAAAACAGAAGTCCACAGCCAGAATCTGGTGCATACCCGGATAAACCGTCGACGGTGTCGTGTGTTAACAGGCTCTAAAACCGTACACCTATTGCTTCATCATGGTGCGTTTTTACAAATACCGAGCCAATGTAAACATTAACCATTTTCTAAAATCGTCCATTGTAACAATTTCCTCCGGCAAAATTTTAATTTTAAAACTTCCATAAACATTGAAAATTTTCTTTTAATATTTTTTCGTTTGATAAAATGGTTTCAGGATGATCTGACCAAGGATCAAATTGCTCGTGAGTAATAACGTTGCTCTTTCGTTTTTTGTAACGATTAATTTATATTCATAAATAAGATTTATGTTATTTTGTTATAGTTTTGAAGAAAGCGTTCGACGCCTTCGATCATGACAAAAAGGGTAGCATCGGTACTGACATGGTGGGTACGATATTGACCATGTTGGGCTACGAGCTCAGCGAGAAGACGCTGAAAGAGATCATCACTGAAGTTGACGAAGATGGTGAGAAAGTGAACTTGAACGTACAAAATCATGCAAAAATTTTATTTACCTGTTAAAAGGCAATAGAGGAATTAATAATTAATTTTTAAGATTAAAAAAGTTCAAGAAAAAAGTTTTCCTGTCCAACTAGGATCCGGCCAATTAGAATTCGAAGAGTTCTGCACCCTAGCCGCCCGATTCTTGGTGGAGGAAGATTCGGAGGCTATGCAGCAGGAATTACGCGAGGCATTCCGATTGTACGACAAAGAAGGGAACGGCTACATAACCACCGCAGTATTCCGTGACATTCTTCACGAGTTGGACGATAAATTGACGCCACAAGAGTTGGACATGATGATAGAGGAAATCGATGCCGACGGTTCTGGAACGCTCGACTTCGACGGTAGGCGTTATCCCTAGAAATTTTCATACTCGCGTCGATCAATCTAATTAATCAATTCGCACGAAAGACAAATGTGAAAAGTGGAGCTCGCGTTGCACATTTGAAAATTGCAGAGAGAACGTTGGTTTCGAGGTTTCGTGGTTTGCCAAGAATTCTATCCGATCGAAATTAATTAATCGGTTGTCGCGTGGGCAACAATTTTCAAACGATTTCCAATTCGGGCCACTCGAATGTGAATTCTTTTTTTTTCGTAATCGACGTTACGAGTTCAAACTCTCTGACACGTTTCTGGTGTTTCATGAATTCTAATTTCTGGTTTTAGAGTTTATGGAAGTTATGACCGGCGGTGACGATTAAATTGCATAGTGGATTGATCAGGATGGACAGGGCTGCGATTAAACGCTACGACACGATTGACACGAGTGCTGTTTCGTATACCAAGCGCAAAATCTTCGATTGATCAGTGGTTGCGCATGATTGAAACTTTGGAACATCTAATTGAAGATGGAGATGTGATTCGATAAAAATTAAGGACGATTGTTAACGATTATTAATGAAAACAAAGTGAAATTCACATTATTCGATGATTAAACGGAATATTTTAACGCAACTCGATTAATATCGCCGAGAGCGAAAGTTATCGTATCGGCTCGACGCCTGAACAACTGCAATCGAGCGTGCGCTTGAGGTACGCGGTAGCAAAGGGGCAGTGAAACCGCCAAGGAACCACCAGAAATAATTAAAAAGAGTCTATGCATCATCGAATTTTTTATTCGCTTATTATTAGCGTGTACTTCATTCGATGAAGATAATTTATTGTCCACGATTGAATAATATGTGAAAAAAAATCAAAAGAAATAAAATTACCTTTTTATACGAACAATTCCTTTCCTTCTCGCAAAGGAGATCACGCAAAAAAGACAACAATTCAACAACAAATTCTATACCTGTAATATCCTTTTCCGTTTCTTCTACTATAAGTCGAATTTTCCATGATTCGAAATCAAAGTTATACCATATAGTCTGCAACTCGAAAATTTTAACTCTTCCCTGAAATTGTCGAGATTCGTCGATACGTTTAATACAATCCGTTAATGCAATACTCGTTCAACTCGTATTAGATCGCACGTGCGATTTACGTACGTTCGAAAACAGTGATTATAAATTCAGAGTTAAGGACGGCACAAAATTAAGGAAACACATCCGGAAGATAAACGAACGCCGACATTCTTGGCATCCGTTCATCTTGTCTACAAGCGCAAATCTAATTTTCCGTTCACTCTTACGAAAAGTGCACGTGAGTCGCCCGTTTTGATAAATGCCCGCTCGTCATCCTATATTTTTCCTATCCTAAGTTCGGTTTATTTGCCTAACACCGTCTGGTTGCCATAACGTCGATCGTCGCATCCTCTTCCTCGTTCAACCGCGTTCCCCAATCATTTCTTTATTTAGCGATTTTCGTGCCGGTTATCGTGTTACAAGACAATTTCAAAATCTTCCACGAGCAGTCGAGAAGAAGTGCAAACGTCAGAGGAACGCGCACGGTGGCGCGTGTGAACGACGAAACGAGGAGCGATTGTGTCATCGTTTAGATTACGTGGAGGAAGAATTTCGGACGTTTCGTAAATTATATTATTCGGTGAATGCTCGCCTCGAACGATTTATCGTCGAAGAACGATTTATTCTGTGAAGTTAACGGCGCTCTTCTATCCGAAGCCAAATTTTCTAAATGTCAAGTGGCCGTTAAGGCGTGATTGGATACACACGTAAGTGATCGGTCGCGACTGTTTTACCGTCACGATAAATAACTATCGAATTTATGAGGAAATAACATCCTTTTCACACCTTGGTCCTGAATTTTCTCGCCTCGGGTGTAATTTATTTGTTCGGGCTGTTTATCGCCATCCTCTTATTAACCTTAGCTTCAATTTTGATTTATATCTTCCTCTGAGGAGGAGGGAAAAGATTACATCTTGCTTCGAATATTTTTGGTATTTCTTTTTCTGCAAACGTGAGTATATAATTATCCGTAATTTACGTAAAATTTATCGAAACAACTTTATTTATATTTTTAGGTAAGAAGGAAGGAAGAAACGGGAGAGGGAGTACCAGCGAGATTCGAACGTGAGATTCTTCATCAATTAGCCGCTTCATCTTCGTGCGAATTTTATATATTGTACAATTGATACCAATCTCCAACGAATTTTGATTGATTGACAAAAAGAGATGCAATCGTTAAAATTGAATGATTTTTTTTTTTTTACATTTATCCCAAAGATAAGTCTACAATTATCTAGAACTTGTATCAAATTCATTTTTAAAGCTCTAATTATATATCTATATTTTTAGGAGCTGAAGAAACAGAAGAAGAGAACAGTAAAAAAGAAAAAAAGATTTTTATACATCCGTGTATCTATATTATTAAAAATTTTAATAATTATTGACTCGTGCTTGTATATGTTTGCATAGATGGATAATTACTGATAGATCTGCCAGAGTTTTGCTTTCGATGTTTCATGGAATTTCTCATCGAAGATTGAAAGGGGTAGAGTAGCAGCGAGCAATTGTCGGTGAACGGGAATCGGATCGATCAAGAAGTCATACCAAATGGGGCATCTGAAATGTCCAAAGATGTCATTATCTCGCCAACTCCCACGTATCGATATACGTAATCGATTTCTGGAATGGACACGGTTAGTCTATTCCCAATAATCCTATTCATTTTAGCCATAAGTCGAATCTAAAATCAATTCAAAACCTTTCTATTTTATCCTATTTTTCCTATTTTAAAAAAATTTTTTTTTTTTCGAAGGATTTCCAAGCTTTTGTGAGATCTCAAAATTTTTGAAATTTCAAACTTTTCTCCTCCTCTTCTTTCTTCTTACTTTTCTCCTTTCTCTTTCAATCCTTTCGAAGAATTTCGAAGCATTCGTGCACTCCATCCCTAGAAAATTATCATGGACCGAAGTAAGCAGATTTCGAAACTACGGGTATCCGAAGTGGCAGTCGGTTGTAAATCAAGTTTGTATCGCGAACCATATCCGGTTTTCCAATATAATCCTCGTTTCTGAAACGGCGAAACGCTCTTTCGTGCGTGGAATAAATATCAATCTGGAACGGTTATATAGGATTCGAATTAAACATTGCATCTTATTGGATTTATTTAAATAACACATAAATTCCATTATTCCATATATATATTTTATCGAGTTCTAAGCGGAGAGAACGGCGAATAAAAAAATAATTAATCTGCAGTAATGTTAATTAAACGAGAGAGACGATTAAGAGAGATGATAAGATTCAAAAATTATGGCCGTGAATTATATGAAACAGATCCAGAGGATTAAATTGAAAATTTCCACTGGAAAATTGCCACTCCGCGAAAATGAAAATGACATTAAACTTTTTACTCCCGAGATACGTATCTTTCAGTGAACCCGTTTCGATTATTTCGATTCGTGATAACATATTTTTAACGAATAAATGCACCTTTCACTTGGCCGAGGATTGGACTTCCACTCGCATGCCTCCACTCGTTAAAATCGACATTGTGCATACATAGTTAGCGGAGAATGAACGACAGTAATTACATAGAACGTCGAATTCATTAATATCAAATTGCATACACGATCGAGATAAGTTTGATTAGCCAATATTGGAAATTACGTTGTGGAATGCAAGGAAGAGTTAAACGTTCGTTAACAATGTTCGTTTTTAAAACTCGTTCGACTACTTTGTGTTACTGGATAATTATAAATATCCTTGGCACAATGTGATGTTAACGAACGAGTTAATATTAAAATTCAATCGCTTTTTAATTACACGTATCGTATCTCGGAAAGATAGAGAAAAATTAAAGAGATGATAAATTTTCGTTATTATTTGAAACTAAAGAATCGTTTAAAATCGTAGATAAGGTAATCCTATTAGCGAAAACTATCGATATTTAAGAAAAAAGTTTTTATCAACAAGGATCTCTGATGGGTATGTGTAACAATAAAATAACGACATGTTAAGTGAGACAAATTGATCAAGGTATCACATATATCACGGAGAAAACTTGTTTAGCGACTTTTACAAATCTTCTATTAGTAAGCTTTTTTGTTGCTACATCGTTTTATATCAAATTGAAATGTCTTAACCGTCATCAAAAGTCATCTGTTATGATGTAAGATAACAAATCAACTATCGAGAAAGTAGCAAGAATTCCTCTTCATCGATTTTCAAATTTAAATTTTTATCCAATGCTTGTAACATATGCAAACTTTGAAATTGCATACTCGATATTAATACTAAAAATAATGAGATGAAATTGCAACGAATACGAGATACGCGTAAAGTCAAAATTTTATTATTAACTGATGAACGATACGAGATATCTTGAGTTTGTGAAAGTTGGCGCGATCATTGCCCACGATACCTTGCGTTACGATTTTTGCTACTGTGAGACGAAACGATTAACCGGATTAATCCCTTCGATCTATCAGCGAATACAATAAACCGGAATGGATCGCAATAGAGAAGAATAACAATCTTGCGTTTATGGGAAGAAGCTGGTGTTTCAAGGAATGAATAATTCTGGTAAAAATTTTAATTAGCATCGCAAGAAACGGGGGAGATCTTCTCGACTTTTATCGAGATTCCGATCGATCCATACGATTCACAACCGGTTCCAGCTCGTCTGATACAGATAAACGCTCTTTCACCAGAGATCTCGGTTTAGATAATTCATCTATCGATCCGCCTATCCACCGTGCGATAATTACATATTTGAAATATTCAAAATTATTGGCTAATATTGAAATTTATGGCTTCCGTTCTTTCGATGCTCGCGCGCGCGCCATCGCAAGAAGATTTCCATCTTAATCAGAATAGATCTTCCAATTATGTAATTTGTATTATATGAATCGATACGATATATATCCAATTTGTAAATTTCATTTTTCGATATGCGAGTCAAATTAATAACGTAGAGTTGAATAAATAATGGAATTACGAAGTAAATGCGCATCTTTATAAGAGATGGCGAAGAAGGTTAATTCCTTTGAAGTCTGAGAAGTTATGAGATATTGGGTGCTGCCATCTCGATACCATTGGTTGGATGGATACCATGATCGTGGAATCTTTAGCATAACAATAACTTTAAGAATTGCAGAAGTTTTAGTATAATAAGTTGGAGGGTCGTAAAACACAGAAGCTAAAAGGTTTATGATTTTGGGGATGTCACGAAACATCTGAGATATTACGATCCTCTGGTGTAATAACACGTTACGACTATGGAATTACGGATAGGATCTTATAAACTCAAAGATAATTATACGACCTGATAAATTGTCTCAAAGCAGTATGTAAATTGATTCAACGAATTTAATTCACCCTCTTTATTCTTTATTTGAAAAATTCTTCGCTTTCGTTTACGTTTTTAATAGATATTTTATTACGATAATTCGAATATTTATTGCGCGATTCG